CGTGCGAAACACCTTTGACCTCCCTTAAAATGCTGCAAACTATGAGGTCTGTGCATATGAACCGTTTTGTATTCACCCGTCATGCCGAGGCACATGCATCGATGGAGTCCATGCAACGCCGTCAGGCACCCCTTGTCATTAAGACCTGCTAGGAAGACCTCCTATTCGCGCCAGTTGCACCGCAAACGCCTACGAAATTCCACAAGTATTAAACTGTTAATAATTCTCGTATTCTTAGGTATCACGCGTGTGTATGCTTTGAAAATACAAAAGTTTTGCGACCGAAACTAGTTTCTGGCTTGCCGGGGTGGCAAGGTCTAAACCTCTTTTCCAAAAGCACTGAAATGAGTTCTGCAAGGTTATAATCTTTTCGGGTCTTTTGCTTGATAAATGCATTCCGATACGGCGGTGACAGGAGGTGGCATCTACGTCGACTTGAAGGCAACCCTAAGACCAATGGGATGAACTAACAGATTTAAATTATGTTTCTTGGCTGCGCTAAGTATTTTCCTAGGCGAGAAGTTCATGGTCTGCTGCCGACCCAACCTCCGGTACGACAATGCTAGACAAACGTAGCAGATGTTCATAAATGACTTTTATGTTTATGTCAATATTATTGCTATAGAGGCTCTGGACCGGACGGGTGTAAGATGTGCGTTGGTCGACGCGTTGGCCTTACGAAGAAGGAGAAAAACGCGAAGAGAACACGTGAATTCATATGCATAAGTCATGGACGGCGACGTTTTACGCTCTGAATGGTGATTCCTGCTTTTGTGTTCGGTTCTGGACCTCACATGTTGTCGTACCGGAAAATTTCCTTCCTGTACGGCGGTCACAGGAGGTATCTACGTCGACTTGTATGCAAAACAATTACACCTAGGGATCATATGGCGGTTGCATTGCATGTTTCTTGGCCGCAGCCAGCAGCAAACTCAAATGGAGTTGGGCCATTTGCCCAGAGGCTGCCGCATGGACGACAAGCCAGGCTAACGCAGCTGATGTTCATGAGTGCCCTTTAGATTCTAAGTATAAAAGCTGGAACAACCCTTACTTTACATTCTGCGTTAAGTACTACCGGTAAGGCGCGACCAATACTCACGTGAGATCCCGGGATCGAGCCACGGTAAAAAAGTGTGCCGTTTCAAGTCCTTAGACATGGCAAGGATAACGATTTAATAAGAGAGGTAGTGAGGTCGTGCGATCGATTACAGCGATGACTTGGGTATCTAAAGGGTGACTCGTAAGAAAAGCCTATTATGCGATGCCTGTACAGGTCCTATTATAGGGAATCATGTATACTTGCGTCTATATAGGCAATGTCGTTTACAACATCAAGTGTATACATACCTGTATACCGCATAGCCTAAACATCCCTTGCTACAGGTTATGATGTAAAAATGTGCTTATAATACTATGCCATACAGGATCGTATATTAGGCCATCACTTACACATGCGCCTCTTATGCCTAAGCCTTTAAGTCTCGTATAATATGTGTACACCTTACTGGCCTATATACCTTTCACCTATTTTCCCGAATATCTCGCCTATACAATGCCCGAAAAAATACAGACGATGTGCCTCAGGGTCCCTGTGTGATGGCAGCACCCAAAGGATAACCAGCGGTCACGGGGCCCGGGGACCACATCCCGCTCAACAGAAATCACTTCTGTTGGAATTCAAACTCAGGTTAGAACTGAGAAATCCTTAACTAAGATACCCTGATGAAGTGAAACACCTTAGCACACCGTGCCTGGCCTCCTGGTATTTCCTTGAAGTATCGGCCAATGTCAGGGGTGGGGCCTCAGTGATACTTGTGTGCATGCTGCACCCTTGAAACACGAGTTCACCAACTGGAAACGCATGAGCACTTGTTGCAAATGCCGGGGCACAGTTGCTTCCGTGTCCACCAGCCACACGAGATGCACGCCCCTAGGTGGGGGTGCTCCCATCCACTTCTGATAGCGGCATGCCTTGATGCCGTACTTCCACTTGGGAAAGCATGGGTGTCACCCAGGCTGTAGTAGCCGGTACACTGTACGGCACACATAACAACTACAAGTACGCACTAAGCGCTAAAACAGCATCTCGAGTGGCCTCTTCTCCGGCCAGCTAATACATTTGGTATCGAGGCCTTTGGGAATAAATGGGGGTCTGAGCCTGGAAGAAATGGAATAATTGGTCAGTTGGCCGTACTGGTTCATTACTTCGGCCATAAGTCGCCCCAAATGCCTTCTGCACATATAAAACTGAACATTTGGAGCTTATACACTATTTATGTATAAAATATTTGATGATATCACCATGAGACGGCCCGCTGTTGCATTCAACTTAGGTCAACGGGGCATTCGTTCATTCTTGACCAAAGCAAACGGCTCAGAAAGTCCGCAGACACAATGCCCCAAACATTTAGGAGAAGAATTAGATAATACAGAAGACAAGGATAGGCATGCCGTAGTTGCCACTCTTGAAGTCAGTGAAGCCAGCGATTTGAGTGAAGCTGAGGATCCCCCAGCGAAGCGGCAACGCACAACTGCAGCAATCAGCGACTCAGCT